GGGTGGGATGGATTGGGATGGGATGGGATGGGATGGGATGGATTGGGATGGGATGGGCTGGATTGAGATGGGATGGGATGGAATGGACTGGGCTGGACTGGGCTGGGCTGGGGAAGGACAGGACAGGACTCACCCTCGGGGGGCTCGGCCATGGGGGGGGTCAGGCAGTACATGTGGTAGCCGCGGTCACAATCGTCACAGAACAGCAGCTGATCCTGCGGGAATTCCGGGGGAGCAGATCCGGGAGCGGCCCCGGAACCGCCAGGAGATCCCCATCCCAAACAGACCCCAAAGATTCCCCCCCAAAAAAAACCTCCCCCCCCAGGGCCCTACAGGTGATCCCAAAGGGAAGGTTTTTCCCCCAAAATCCACGTTCGGGCATTCCCAGACCATTCCTGGTCATTCCTGGCCATTCCCAGACCATTCCCAGACCATTCCCAGACCATTCCTGGCCATTCCTGGCCATTCCCAGACCATTCCCAGACCATTCCTGGCCATTCCCAGACCATTCCTGGCCATTCCTGGCCATTCCCAGACCATTCCTGGCCATTCCCAGGTCAGTTTTGGGCTCTCCCAGGGCACTGGTTTTGGGGGGATCTTGGGGTGATTTTTGGGGTGTTCCTGGTGGGTTTTTGGGGCCGTTCCTGGTGGGTTTTGGGGTGTTCCCAGTGGATCCCAAGGTGTTCCTGGTGGATCCCGGGCCATTCCCAGAGAATTCCAGGCCATTCCAGGTGGATCCCGGCGGATCCCAGGCCATTCCCGGTGGATCCCAGTGGATCCTGGGCCATTCCCAGTGGATCCTGGGTCATTCCTGGCGGATCCCAGTGGATCCTGGGCCATTCCCAGAGAATTCCAGGCCATTCTTGGTGGATCCTGGTGGATCCCAGGCCATTCCTGGTGGATCCCATGTCATTCCCAGTGGATCCCAGGCCATTCCAGGTGGATCCCAGCGGATCCCGGGCCATTCCTGGTGTATCCCGGGCTGTTCCCGGTGTATCCCGGCGGCTGCGGGGCCATTCCCTCGGGCACGGGGCGCTCACTCACGTCGTTCTCGGAGGTGCCGCAGATGTTGCAGCACTTGCACTCGATGCACTGCCAGCGGTACGTCTTGACGGCCGCCATCATCACCGGCGTGAACTGCAGGCACGACGGGTGGCCTGGGACACGGGAAAAACATGGAAACGTCATGGGATTGCCATGGGATTGTCATGGGAATGTCATGGGATTGCCATGGGATTGTCACGGGATTGTCATGGGATTGTCATGGGAACGTCATGGGATTGTCATGGGATTGTCGTGGGATTGCCATGGGATTGCCATGGAATCATCCCAGAACCACGGGATTGTCATGGGATCATTCCGGAACCATGGGATTGCCACGGAATTGTCATGGAATTATCATGGAATTGTCCCAGAACCACCAAATTGTCACGGAATTGTCCCAGAACCATGGAACGGTCATGGAATTGTCATGGGATTGCATGGAATGATCACAGAATCGCCCCAGAATGACGGGATGGTCACAGAATCACCCCAGAACCATGGAATTGTCATGGAATTGTCATGGAATTGTCATGGAATTGTCAAGGAATTGTCATGGAATTGTTCCAGAACCATGGAATTGTCATGGAATTGTCACGGAATTGTCATGGAATCATCCTAGAACCATGGAATTGTCATGGAATTGTCATGGAATTATCACAGAATTGTCATGGAACCGTCCCAGAACCACAGAATTGTCATGGAATTGTCCCAGAACCGCGGGATTGTCATGGAATCGCCCCAGAACCACCAAATTGTCACAGAATTGTCCCAGAACCATGAAATGGTCATGGAATTGTCATGGGACCATCCCAGAACCGCAGGATTGTGATGGAATCACCCCAGAACCGCGGGATGGCCATGGAATTGTCCCAGAACCACAGAATTGTCACGGAATCACCCCAGAACCACAGAATTGCCACGGAATCTCCCCAGAAGGGCGGGATCTCGCCGGGGCCCCGGCGGGGGCAGCGCCCACCTGACCTCCCGCAGTCGGAGCAGGACACGAGCTCCTCGGGCTGCCCCGTCTTCTTGTTGATCTTGGAGTCCCCCAGGCAGAAGTCGCAGTAATTGTTGGGAAGGGCCAGCCCGTCCGGCCCCTTCTTGGCTGGAAAAACAGGGACGGGAACCCTCGGGATCAGCGGGAAAATCCCCCCCAGTCCCCCCCCTGGAAGCAAATCCCAGCTGGGGAGCCTCGGGAGGGAAAGGGGGGAGGGAAAGTCATGGAGGTCTCGGAATTTTGGGGGAGTCGAGGAAGTTACGGAGGTTTGGGAAGCCGGGGGGATCGGGGGGATCAGGGGGGGAGTTTTTGGAAGGAGGTTCTGGAGGTTTTGGAAGGAAGTTGGGGGAGTTTGGGAAGTTGTGGAGGTTTGGGAAGCGCTGTGGGAGCTGTGGGAGTTTGGGAAGTC